GAGGAGGAGGAGGAGGAGGAGGAGGAGGAGGAGGAGGAAGAGGAGGAGGAGGAGGAGGAGGAGGAGGAGGAGGAATTGTGAAATTTTTTGAGCTTGTGTTCTTTGAGCTTGGCTGTTTTCTTGCAGATGTTTCATTACCCAACTAGCAAACATCATCAGTACCAGAAGAGAGAGGGTTTTGCAAAGAGGAGGAGGTGGGAAGGGGAGGAATGGCTTCCCTCTTAAGTCCTGTGTTCTTTGATTAAGAGTCAATGTTTAAACAGAATTTATGAGTCACCCTTTGAGCAGGGTAGGTGTGGCTCCAAACACTTTCCCCCAGGCAGTGATTATTCATGCTCTTTTTCTCTCTTGTACACACACACACACACACACACACACACCCCTAGCATCATTCTACCCGCACCACAAGTTCTCTACCACAAGTTCCCCGTTGCAAAGCAGGCCAGGAAAAAGCAGAGTTAACAGAATACCAAGAGTTGGAAGGGACCCTGGAGGTCTTCTAGTCCAACCCACTGGTGGCAGCCCCCCCTGGGGGAGTCACATGATCCCCTTTTTCGACCTTCTGGCCAGCCAAGTCAATAGGAGGGAGCCAGATTCACTTAACAACTGGGTTACGAATTTAACAACTGAGGCGATTCCCTTTAACGACGGCGGCCAGAAAAGTCACAAAACGGAGCAAAGCTCACGGAACAAATTTTCTCACCTAACAAAACATCAATTGCGGCCTCCATTGTGGTCATAAGGTGAGGACTAACTAACTTACCGACCACAGTGATTCACTGAACGACCGCAGTAGGAAAAGTTGTAAAAAAAAAAAAAGAACCCTCCCTTAACAAACGTCTTGTTTAAGCACAAAAATGTTGGGCTCGGTTGCGGTCGTAAGCGGAGGACGGACTATATTCCCAAACCGAAAAAAAACAAGGCACCCATTTCTCCTCAGGAGGAAGTTGCTGACGTTAAAAGAGACATTTTAAAGCGTTCAATCTTGTTCCTTTCTGAGATCAATCAAAAGATTCCGGCTATCGATAGCGCTGTCCTTCAAAATGGCCAAAATGCTCTCTCAAAAATCAATATCTCCCATATTATTATTATGATTATATTATTTTTCTTTTCTTTTTTTCCCCAAAACATTTTTTATCTTTTACAAACATCTCTTTTGGTGAACAGTGTGATTCCAGGTTTTTATATCTCCATACAAACATGACCATAATTAATATCTATCTTACATAATTCAGTTTCTTATCATTACATTTCCTATTTTCTATAAATGTTCACAAATATTCTTATGTTTTTCACATCTCTTTTATCCATTTATGATTCATATCTTAACTTATTCTGCTTTTCTTTGATTATATTCTTATCTTCTTTATATATCTTAAAACTCTCATTTCTTAATCTGTATTCATTATGCTTTTATCTGTCATATTTCCAAATTC